GGTGGCGCTTGGCAGGTCTCCGCGCAATTTTCTCTCCCCCACCACCCACCCCCCTTCTCCTCCTCCTGCAAAATGCACCGCCCCCCTCCTTTCTCCTGGAGCAATGCGACTGGGGCTCTAGGCGCCCCGCCAGGGCCCGTCCCAGGGAAAGCTCGCGGCGGCGCTGGAGCCGGGCTGGAGGGTGCAGGGCCGGTGTCGGGGCGGCCGAGGTGGGGCTGCTGGGCGAATCTCACTCGTTGGGTGCTTTGCACGGGAAGGGCGCGGCGGGGAGGTGTCGGGGGCTCGCTTCTCAGCGCAGTTGGGAGCAAGACATTTCTCCGTGTGCTCCGTGTGGAGCGTTTTCCCGGGTGCGTCTCGCCTTCCTCGCTCCCGGGCTCGGTCTAGGTCCCCTCTCCCCCAAACACACACACACACACACACACACACACACACACACACACACACACGCCCCCACCCCCCACTATGCACCAGGGGAGTCCAAGAGCCGCAGCATTGCGCAGCGTGATGTAATTCCTAGGATGCACTCCTGCCTGTCTGCCCCCCGGGTCCACGAGGGGGCTCCGCTCTTCACCCTCTTCCTCCTTCTTGGCCGGGACCTGCACCCTGAGTGGCGGAGGCGCAGGGGCGCGTCCGGCTCGCCCGCCTCGCCCCTGATCCGCCCGGCTTCGCGCGGCCGCGGCTCGGCTCCCTGGGGGCGGGGCGCCCTCTGCTGGTCACCTGCGAGCCCTGCCCCTGGCGTGGACTGCCGGGGGCGGCCCAGAGAGGTGGGTTCGTCTGCCACCCTCTCTGCCCAGCGGCGTTCTTACTCTTGCGTCCCTGTCGTGTGTGTGTCTGCGCGTGCTGATGGGTCCGTCTGGTCTCGGATGTTTTCTCAAAGCTCTCCCGCTCTTGAGTGTGAACAAACTTCCCGGGATTCCTCTCTAAGCCCCTCACATTTCACAAGAAAAAGAGCTGCAGCTTCTGCCTCTGGTAAAATCAGCGTCCGCGGGCAGGGTGCGGACCAGATACCGAAAGATGGAATGTCCGTCGGAGACCCGAGTCCTGGCTGCGGTCCAGCCTGATTTAATAACTGTGGTGACCTTGGGCACGTCACTTTGGTGGCACTGTAAACGACCTGAATTAGTCCCAACTACCTTTGTTTTCCCAGCCTACCTTTCCTCCATTCTCAATAAACCTGAGAGGTGCTTTCTCTTTCAGGAGCAGTTTTCCTTTGCTGGCAGATGGGGACCGCAGTGACGCCTCCGGTGCATTTTCCTGTGGATGGAGAGCTGAATCCAAGGTTCAGTTTCCCTTGTGGTGGACGCGATTGGAGTCTGGAAGGAACTGGAGAAGAGACTTGGTGTGGTTGGCCCAGGTCTTCACCAGGGTTCCCGCGAGGGCCGCTTGGGAGGCTCCAGTGTGACAGCCGCAGTCATCCTACTTCCTTTCCCCAAAGATCTGGTTTTTCTTTCAGCCTGCCCTCCATTTCCAGAGACTTGAGCATGAGTTTAAGGAAGAAACCACTTTGCTGTGTGGTAGAGTCCTTCTACTGAACCTCAGCAACCCAATCGGGAGAGATGGTCAACAGCCTTTCTCTCTGTCTCTGTCTCTGTCTCTGTCTCTTTGTCTCTTTCTCTTTCTGAGACAGACCTTCTCTGTGTAGTTCAGGCTGGGCTTAAACTCACTACGTAGCCTAGGCTGGCTTCAAACTAACAGTGAGCCTCCTGCCTCAGCCTCCTGAGTGCTGAGATTACAGGCTTGCACCAGCATGCCCAGCTTTCCACTTTCAAATTTAGACAGTAAGTGGAATTAGACCATCAAGGGACTGCCCCAAAGAGACCTTGGTTTGAGCACTGGAGATAAGAACAGCCCATTGGTTGTTTGAATTGGGGTGCTTCTCAAATAACATGATTGGTGCCCCCCCCACACATGGTAGGCTCTTCAGATACACTTCTTTCTGATGTGCTTTATGGGGTCCGGGCATTAATTTGTTGTCCTATGAAGATTAAATGTTCCAGAGCAATTTTGTCCCTGCTATTAATTAACAAAGAAAATAACTTTTCAGTGAGGAGTTCAAAGGCTAAATTGTAGCTCAGCCGTCCTGAGACAGTAGGTTCTAGTTAGTGACACTTCACTGTGCTATTTTGTGCTCTGTCTATCCTCCAGAAGCACTTGTTTTTGCTTAAAAACTAACCAAGATCCTTCATTTCTGTATTTAGACTGAAAGATTTGACTGAATAGCAAGACAAAAAACAGGGAATGAAAACAGAATCATGTTTAAGAATGGATTCGGGGACCTGTTTGTGGATGGTCTACTGGGTGAAGATGAGGCAGGGAGATGAGAGAGAGAGAGAGAGAGAGAGAGAGAGAGAGAGAGAGAGAGAGAGGGAGGGAGAGAGGGAGGGAGAGAAAGAGAGACACACAGAGAGAGAAATTTCATAATTGTTCTCTACTGCCCCCCCCCAAAGAAAACCTTCTGCAGTCCCGTGAGAGAAAGATGAGAAACACAGAAAGAAATTAAAACGGGATGGTAAAACTCATAAATTCCCATGAAACTATAGATTAATGTTAGACACTTTTTATAGCCCAAGCCCTCTTCTGAAAATATAACCACTTCACGCTCATCCTTGAATGTTGTCTGCTATTTCACAATGCACTGTGGTGAATGAGCCATAAGAAGGCAAAGCAATTACAATATGAGCTGAAGTGTTCTCAAAGCACACCTACCCCTCTTCACTGTGAGGTCCTGGAATATCACACCTGGGGAGCCCTGGACCCCCTATTTATATACACACTGGGGGAGCCCCAAATTTGGGGATGTTGGAATCAAGCATCTAAACAGAAGCCACACCTACTGGAAGAGCTGAGGTTCAGCTGAGCACTGTGAAGAAAAGGGTGTGTTTAGCTGAGGAGGGAGAACAGGAGTTTGAAACACAGGCGTCTGCAGGGAGAGGGAACCTCACGAGGTGAGGGGTAACAGGATCTGGGGACTGGCCTAGTGGGAGAAGAAATGCGGTGCACTTGGAGGCTCGTAGGAAGATGACTTTTGTGTCAAGGGTGCCGGGAATTGAACTCACGACCTTGCACTTGCCAGGCAGGCGCTGTGCTGCTGAGCTAAATCCCCAGCCCCTGTGTTACTTTCTTTCTGCAGGCATCGTGACCACCGTGAGCTTCTGTTTCTCACCTGTCAGAGTGGTGCCATAGAAAGGAGATAAAGCATGTCTGGCCGAGCACGTGCCTGGGGCCAAGCATATACTGAGCAAATGCCTTTCAACACATGTTAGTTTTTTGGACAAGCCCGCTGCCTTCAATGTGCCAACCCCTCTCAGATCTGAGCGAAAGGGGGTTGGATGGTGGGAATGCTGCTGAAATCAACCCCAACACTCACAGGTCTCCTTTCTGTCCATTCTGCATGTGCAGCTAAGCTAGGGGGGGACTCGATAACAAGCCAATCTCAGTGATTCTGCGGCACTTTATTTTTTGTGCTGGGGATCAGTCTCAGGGCCTCGCTCTTGCTAGGCACTGCTACATCCCCAACCCCGCTGTGGCTGTATTGAAGAAGGAGCTGGATAAGCTGCACCAAGAGGGTTGTGTTTCTTCCAAAGGCAGCTGTGGGGCAGGAGATGGGCCAACAACAGAGGGATAGCTTTGGGCTCAGCCTTTGATCCGGCTCTCCCTGAGTTTGGACATCAGTGAGCAATGGCTGGAGACTTGGCCTGCAGGAGTCACCGCTAGAAGCCTAACGGAATAATGACAGCACAGGCCTGCCGCGGCTGTCCCTTTTGCAGGTGTCTGTCCCTACAAAATGCTCGGGGCAAGGAAAACTGAAGCAATCCTTCAGATGCTCAGGCTCCTCCAGGTTAAGCCAAGAGGAGCCCAAGTGTCTTTTATGCATCTTTCTTACGTCCATTATGATTCTAATAATAGTTCGGCAATCTTCTGATTCTTTGGCCCTGGAAATGGAGGCCTGAGGTGGTGTGGGTGATGTGCAAAGGGCATGGGACTTAACGTCAGAAAACTTGCAACCTACTGGTTGGTTGGTAGTTGTAGTCTAATGTCAATCACTCATCCCTGACACCAAGAGATCAAGGGACCGTGAGATACCACAAAGATGTGAGAAGAATGAGAATCGCCACCTTCTACACCCTGCACCACCCCAGGCATGTGAAAACCATCACTATTTGCTCCTTTGCTGTCCCTTGGGT